TCATCTACAACAGGGAAAGTACTTCGAAGGATAGTGAGGAAGAAGAAAAAGAAGCAAATTTGTGCTTAATGATAAATAGTGATGATGAAGCTACTTCGAAGGTAAATTCTACGAATTCACTTGATGAATACGATGAATTACATAGTACATATCAAGATCTTTATGTGAATGTTATTCACTTAGTGAAAATGCATGATTCTCTAAAACAAAAGTTCCAAGAATTAAAAAAAACATTAATTCATTTGGAGAAGGAAAATGATGATTTAAAAATGAATTTAGACAAGTACAAATTAATTTCTAAAAATAAAGAAGTATTTAAGCCTTGTGAAAATTGCTCTCACCTTGAAAATGAAATTTTCAAATTATTGAAAATAATAAATAAATTTTCAAATTCTTCTAAAAATCTTGATTCAATGGTAAATTCTCAAAGATTGAATTCTAGCAAAGATGGACTTGGTTACACTTTCAAGGAAGGTCTAGAAAATCACAAAACCGTTTTTGTAAAAGAATCAAGAAAAATGAATCATCAAGTTGCTTCCAAACAAAATTTTCAAAGAAAAAGATTCCAAGCCTCTCCATATAGGCTTAGTTGTTTCTATTGCATGAAAACTGGCCACACTTCAAACAAATGTTTTATAAAGCATAAAGGAATATCTAGTGGCATATATATGTGGATTCCTAAGGGGTAAAACACAAAAAAGTTTAGATTACGCAATGCAAACTTTTGCACATAATCAATTATAAAATCACGTAATGGATTAAGTTTTTTTTAATTGCACACATAATAAATGATGGTATTTACATAATCAACTATGTTACGGTAAATAGTTTTTTTAAGTTATTTTTAATAATTAATTATGTGTTTAAAATAATCCATTATGTAACAATGCAATTTATATTTTTTTGTGTTGTGATAGTCACTTAATCTCTCTATAGTTTATAACTAATGACATGATTTAAATGTATTTTGTGATGATTGCGGATTTAACTTTAAAAAATATTTTGATAAATGTTTAAATGTGTTTCTTTCAAACTGTTAATGACTTCCTTCTATCACCTCTAAACGTGGAGAAAGCCTTTATATGCCTAAATAATAAGGGGAGTTATATTACTCCTTTTTGAATGTTAATCAATAAAAAGGGGGAGTGACTCTGTATGTTTGTTTCGATTATGTGTTGGATGATTATATGTGTTGAATGTTTACATTGTGCTCACAAATAGGGGGAGCAATATATCTTATTATAATAAGAGAAGCTTAATGTGTTTGAATTAATCCATGTGATATAAATTCTTTAATGAATAATATGATTATTCAACACTAACCACTTGTGTTAATCTTGAGCTGACTACAAAGCCAAACAATTATTTTCATTATAGGTGTTTTCTTAATCCTTATCAAAAAGGGGAATAATATTAGCAAAAAGAATGTCACCACTACCCCTTTGAAGCTAAAGATTTTGATGGATATTCAAGCAAAACTTCTACAAGATTAAGATAAGCTCAAAATAAAGATATAGTGTTTAGGGTGTTAAGTTTCTTTGTATAAAGAGGAAGCAAAAGAGGAATAATCAGTCAAATCATCTCTCTTCACAAGTGAAATAATTTTATGTACATAATCAATTAAGGTTAAAACATAATTAAATTATGTTACTGCTAGATTTTCAAAAATAAAAATATCTTTTGAATTGAAACTGATTTTTCAATCAAGTATTCTACGACTATATCTTCTCTTAAAAATTCTCCTTTCGTAGATAATAAAAATTGATTTTCGAATTTATTTGGTTTTATTTAAAATTAACAATATCTTTTGAATTGAAATTGTTTTTTAAATAAAGTATTATCTGACTATATCTTCTTCTAAAAAATCTTTTTTCTCATTGAGAATAAAAAATGATTTTCAAATATATTTTTTAATTGAATTAGTTGAATTTTTTTAAAAAAAATTCAAGTAATTTTTTTATAAATAACCCAATTTTGAGAAAGAAAAAGAAAATGAGACAACACACTACTATTGAGTTAAAAACACGAAAATACGGTTGAACATTCCGTCTTTTGTACTCTTACATTCCAGGTGACGAGTGTTTCAATTTTTTTTAATCTTCATCCTTTGTTTGGTACGAGAGGAGGTATTTCATCCCTTGTGTGATTCAAGGGAGGTGTTGTCATCTCTTGAAAGGGCTCAAGAGAGGTGTTTATCAGTCTCTAGAATTTTTCTTTTGCATGTTTCACTAGGTCATTGTGATTGTAATTGAAATACTCTAAATATAGTGAATTGAGATTGTCATTCTCACATTGAGGTGACTGAGAACTGGATGTAGGGTTAGCTATACCGAACCAGTACAAAATACTGTGTGAATTTCTTCTTCTAGTATAAATTACTGTGTGAATTTCTTCTTTTCTTTAATCTTTTTTATTTTACGCTTCTGGTAACACACTTAATTAATAAAACTGATTTTTTTTAAGTATAGACGTCAAGACAATTTTTGTAAAGAATCAATTCAACCCCCTTCTTGATACCATTTGTCTAACATTTAAAAGATTAGAAGATAAAAATTTATTTTATAATTATTTTTATAATTTATTAATTAAAATTAATTATTATTTTAAATTAATAAATTATAAAAAATAAAGATAAGAATAAATATTTAATTTTTTATAATTTATTAGTTAAAATTATTATTTAAACCATTAAAATTATAAAAAGTTAAAGATAAGAACAAGTGTCTAATTATTTTCTATAATTTATTGATTAAATTAATTATTATTTTAAATCATTAAATTATGAAAAATAAAAATAAAAATAAAAATAAAAATAAATGTTTAATTTTTACAATTTATTAATTAAACTTAATTATTATTTTAAATTATCAAATAATAAAATATAAAGATAAGAATAAGTGTCTAATTATTTTTTAATTTATTGATTAAAATTAATTATTATTCTTTCATCATTAAATTATAATAAAAATAAAGATAAGAATACGTGTCTAATTTTTATTTTTAAAATAAGTGAATTATTATAATTTATACATGAGATCATTAGATATAAAATTACTTTAATTTAATTATTAAAATTTAAATTCTAAAAACATATTTTATCATTTTTTTATTAGTTTTTTAGATGATTTATTTTTACATATATAATTTTTATTTTATTTCAATCGTATAAAGGTAATTTTAAAAGAAATTATAATTTATTTTAAAATATAAATTAAGTCAAACTATTAACTTTTTTATTTGGTCATAGGATAAGACCAAATAGCCTGTTTTATTTATTTATAAATAAAAAAGACAGTAAAAGTGATACCAACCAGTAAAAAACATATGGTTTGTGGCTGTGTTACTAAAGATAATTAGATACCAACCAGTAAATTATGGGGGAGAGGATGTGTACTATAAGGATAAGAAAGTAAGAAGCGACAGTAAAAAGGAAAAGTTTCCATGATGTTCAAGTTTTGATAGGCACCAAGAGTCATAGTTACTGATGATTTCTTGCCCGAAAATTTCTAATCCTAGTACTGATTTGGAAGGACAGGCATCATGGGTGTCATATTTGTGTAGTACTACAAGATCCTAAGGGTGTACCTAGAATCTCTGATCTGCTTTCCTTGGGCATCTCATTTCGGAGTTAGATGTGTTGTGGAAGGACCGGTTTTCATGGGTAGAACTTGTGGTCAAGTGTCCTTTGATTCCTTTCTATGTGCACGATATTAGGCACCTTTTTTGGATACAGAACAGGGAATAGTGCAGCAGCAGTAACATGGAATATATGTTTACTCTTTATAATTTATTTGGTACCATGATGCGTGGATTACATTCCAAGGAAAATCAATACACAAACCGTGTCTAAGCATGCTGTACTACTGCTACCACCTTTGGTCCACATAAAATAGGACATGTTCTGAATGGGATCTGCAATTGACATGAACCCTTAATCTTTTTATTATTATTGTTTTAATGTTGATTTTTTTTTTACATGATAAAAAAGTGTTTTTGAATCCAGTTTTTTATTTTGACTTGGTATATACAAAATATCTTTTTTAAGAACTAATAAGTGTCTACCCAACAAAGAATTAAGGGGTGTGTGGATGGGGGGATTAAATAATTAAGCCCAAGCTTTATCTCAAGGTGTCAATTGGTGAGAGGCATAGAAAGGAACATAATGAGAGGGTGTTGTTGTCCAACTCATACTCAGATCAATATCATTTAAATGAAAAAATGGGGACACTTTTCAAGTACATCACTCTACACCACATGAATTCAAGCGTTTAACACACTACAATTGCAAAACATACTGCTGCACGCTGGAGTGTGTTTTGGGCCTAACAGGACTTGTTGTGGCCTTTAACACTTGGTCATGTTTTAAACTAATTTGGTTGAAAACTAGTTCTTTTTTAGAGTTAATTACAAAATTATATATTTAAGCAATATTGAAGAGTAAAGTATAAGTGTAAACATGACCACTATTATTTATATATATATAATAGCTAGCAATCCAAAATGTAAGGAGGATAGTTCATCAATGACATTTTGAATGCATCTTTCAGTAACATGACCCATGAGACTCTAATCTAACACTTATTTTAAAAAAAAAAAAATCATTCAAGGAAAAAGTTGGTAGGAAATAAAGGCAATAATGCCTAGAAGGAAAAAGGAAAAAAGTTAATTAAAACTGTATGTTCTAGTTTTGAATAATTCCTAAATTATTTCGTTCAAAAATTGGGCATTACTACTATTAAAATAAGCATAAGCGATAATATATGTTACCATCAATCTTTGTCTAAGAAGATAATTCATCACACGTCTCTATTTATACCTAGAGATCATTGTAAGCTGCCAAACACTGTTGCACAATAAGGAATATTCAACCTTAACAGTTTTACAACATGTTATTGAAAAAGAAACTATGAAACCAGAAGTCTAGAGTGATGCAAATGAATAACATCTTTTATTGAAGTGCTCAAAGACACATTATTTTGTTCATGAGGGTGATGTTGTTCTTAATTGCCCCATTTCCCATCACACTCCCTGGGCTCAATAACCTTAATTGAGCCATCAGAAAGTCCAATGGCAAATTGATTGGGCTCATCAGGATGCGCTGCAACAACAGTAGGATACACATTTTGTCTGCACAAAAACAAAGGTAAAGGATGAGTTGTTTTGAAGAATATGGATGGGCATCATGTAAGAAAATTCATCTAGCTTAGTTGACAGTAAACAAATTTATCTAGCTCTAGAATTAAACTTCTAGAGCATATATCAAGTGAGAGGAATAAACAGGAGTTATGCAGTTATACACGAATTATAAGATTAGAACTTTTGTGAAGTCATATGACCACCTAAAAAAGTAATGTTTTGTAAAAGAATATCACATGGCTTTATATCTCCTCTCATTTAAATGTCTGAAAGATAGGGAGATAAATTAATGAAGTGTTGGGAAACCTGATTAATGTGTTCTGATATGCTGATGAAGCCAGACGACATTTGACCTTAAGAGTGTCAGCATCAAATATTGCAATATTTCCATCAGTGAAAGTAGCATAAACTAGGTGGCTATTGCAGGAATACGCTGCACAAGATATGGAACCGAACAACCACTCGTGTGGCATCCACTATAAACCAAACATGAAGATGTTACTATCTCATTTACAAGGAACACAACATAGGGAATTTAATTATCATAAAAATCAAAGACTGGTTTCATTCTTTTGAAGAGAATGGAAGGGGCAATAACTGGCTTACCTGTCGAATCAGTTCCATTTTTGAAGCATCATATAATGCTAGTTGAGTCTCATGCCATACCAGCAAACGTACTTGATCAACGTTGAATTGTACTTGAGTATCACCAACAGGTGCTTTTCCAGTTGGCATTTGGAGTGATAGTGAGTTCTTCTTATGCCACGAGTCAATATCCCAAAAGGTAAGCTACAAAGAACCCACAAAAACGAACCAAAGATGTCAAAGTGATAAGATTCAAAATAATTGTGTTGTAGAACCCATACCTAATACTCCTTTTTCACAAAGCAACAACAATTAACACAATACAACAAATATTCTAATAGAAATCATGGTCAAACATACCTGAGCATCAGCACCTGATGAAACCATTACATTCAGTTGAGGTGAAAAAGCTAAACCAGTGACATGCTTATGGTGACCTGTCAATATAGATTTGACCTAAACAAAGAGAAGTCAAATCAATATATATAGAAGCAGTTTTAGGTTAAACTTTAGAGCAACTTGAAGTAATTACCTCATTTAGCCTAACATTATAAATATGAATTGTTGAATCTTCCATCCCTATTGCAATGACGTTATTATCTTTGGGATGGAATGTAAGGAAGGTTGAAATAGGTGGAGGTGGCATAAAAGTTGTCATCACCTGAAACAACACAAATTTTCAAATTTTACAGATAGCAATATATTGCAAAGAGAAAAATTATTGATAATGACAAAATATAAGAAGTTGTCATATCACCTTAAATGTCATCATGTTGAACAATGAAACTTTTCCTCCACATGCAGACATAACATAGGAATCATTCTTTGAGAGTGCTATGCAAGGAAATGTTGCTTCAGAAGAGTTTGGGACATTATTATTCATGAGAAGACCATTATTTGGCTGCCAAAGTTGTGGAACAACACTTGTTGTGGCCTTTTGAACATACACAAGAAAATTTAGATCTTTTATGTGAATAATTGTGTATAAGACATAACAGTATACAAGCATCATATATAAAGCACTGGGAAAGTGTTTACAATGTCTTGGTCTAAGGGTACAATTACCTTTCCACTAGGATTCAATTCATTACGACTCCATTTCCACAACCTCTGGATCCCTTTCGAGCCAAGAGCAAGAAGACTAACTCCAGAATTTGTGTAAAGAAGACGAGCAACCTTGGTATAAACAAGATTTCATGAACACAAATACATAAAAGGAAAAGTTAGAGGTAATACAAATATATGACTTAAGAATCATATACAAAAAAAGGAAAGGTTGCAGGGAATACCTTGTTAGTGGGATCCACATTATCTGGCATGGTAACTGTTCGAAACTGAATGGGGTCAACTATCTCCATAGTTTCCCAAACTTTGGATTTGTTGGATACATCATCAAAACTTCCTTTCTTCTCTGTGCATGTAGGCGTAGAATCAACTCCATTCTTGTATAAACAAATGAAAAACAATTTAGTTGGACACTTACTGTGTAATAGACCAAAAAATGCCAAACAAAACACAATATAAATCTTTAAATATCTTAATTTACTTTATTAAAGATGCATGATTTGTAAGTTAAACTAATGTCAATAAGTTCAATAAATAAAAAACATTTTTTTTCTCAATATGAGGGATAGAACCTTGGTCCCAAAAGGAGCTTTAAATGTTTCATGAAATCGAGCTTCAATTACCCTCAAATATTTGATGCCCTCAGAATTTGCAAGGAGTTTCAAACCACCATCCGTTGTAGTGACAGCAAGCAAATTTCCTTCTTTATTGAATCTCAAGCGAGGGAGATTCTGACACAAGGAGTCAACCGTATCAAACAATGCTCTAAAAAATTAATGAAAAGATGGAAAGTACAAAGACTACTCACAGCAAGACCCCCATCAGCATCTGTACTAAACAAAACATTGACATTATCCATATCCCAAAACTTGATCTGGTGATCTTCTCCAGCAGCCAAAAATCGACCTTTTGCTGTGTCAAATTGCACAACGCCTGTAGAACTCTGTCTAAACCCAGAATAAGTTCTTTTTGGTGCTCCTTCTCTTTCATTCCACTCAACTAGGAAGGAATCTCCATCTTTACTTGTCCCACATGAGAACAATCTAAAACAGGAAACAGGAATCATAACTCACAGATTGATTAGATATATTTCCTGAATTATTCTTATTTTCTTACCTATTTCCCTCCGTACTATAGAGCATTGTGGTGCACCACTGTCCAGGAGCAGCATAGTCCAACCGGGAGCCCATGTCATCGTATAACCATGCCTTGATTTTCCCATCAACAGAAGTTGAAAATAAAAACTGCATATATATGGTGTCTAACTATTATTAGTCCAAACTTTACTGCAACTGTCTTTACAAGAGGACAATACCATCATTTTCTCTTTACACATATTCAGTCATCTTCACATAATTGATAACACATGGAACAATATACCTCAAATTCAATAAAAGAAAGTTCACCATGTAAGGGAGGGACTTTAGAACTTTTACCTGGATATTTTCCTTTTGACGAGGACAAATACAGAAAACAGGTGCTTCATGACCTTCAAAGCTAAAAAGCTTCTTTCCAGTAAAATCCCATACCTATAACATTATTCCTCTAAATATTAATTAAGGATCATTTGGAGATAAGCTAATATAGAGCAAAAACTACTTTGTTACCTTTATTAATTTATCATCTCCACAAGTTACAATGCATAACTGCTTGTTCAGATTACAAAATGCCAAGTCATTAACACCACCAGCATGAGCGTCAATCTGTAGTGAAGAAGACATCAGTAAAAGATTACAAAATCTATACTAAATTATTATTGAAACTGGTCTCAACATGCCTCTAAACAGAGTCGAAGGTGATTAGGTGCTTGATAGGCATATAAATTGATCAAATGTTTTGTAAAAGCAACCCCTGAAAGAAGATAAGTAAGTTTTGTTATTAACCATTAATATGCAATGAAGTGGACCCAAGTTTCCTTAAAAGACACTTACCAATAAAATCCCCTTCACCATTCCATGATACACGACTAACAGCTACAGAAGAGTCTTTCAAGATTGCAGCCTGTATAAAAGTGGCATTTACTAAACTCAAACATATTACATGAGAAATATTGTAGCATTTAAATTGGATGAGAAGATGAGTAATAAACCATATACTTTAACATTTTCCCAAGTCCATAAAGGTAATTGTTAAGGTTCCAACATAAAACCAATTGGCAATATGTGGAGTAGCCTAATATGTATTTAAACCATATCAAATGACATGAGGTAGGCGAGGTGGGACTTTCAACAGTAATGTTAGATATAAAGTTAGATTTGTTAGTTACTCTTTTTTATAGTTTTGTTCTATTTTAACACTTGCTCTATATATACATTCATGTTCATGTAGGTAATAATAAGATGAGATGAGGTATTATTTAGTTTTATATTCTGTACATATGTATTATTATATTCAGCATGATATCTAGAGTTTTTACGATCAAATAATACTATGAGATGTGTACGACATAGTTGTCATCAATTCGGCATGTGAATCTTTGTTAGAAATTGAGTTTTTTCTAAAATACTTTATGTAACTTCTAATTACTTTTTGATTTGGTGAAAATCCTTATTTTAAGGAAGAGTAGGTTGTATGGTCAAATATTAGGTAGAAAGGAGTGGTAGTCCTTATTTTGTAGAGATTTACATATCTCTTTATGTATGCAAAAAGAAAACCTTTATGGCATCAATGAACAACTGAGTTTTCTTCCCTTTTGTTCATTGCTGAGCTCTGTATCACTCTCTGTTCTTCTTTGTTTCTGGTTTTATACTACTTTGCTATTTTTTCTGATTTTACAACATGGTATCAAGAGCCCATTGATTTTAAGGGCCTGTGAGGGAGTGAAAATCAGTTAGAAAGTTATATACAAATCAGAAAAAAATACCAATAACAGATAATGGCATCCAGTAGCAGTTCTTTACCTCCACCTCCAGTTTTTGTGGGAGAAAATTATGATTTGTGGGCTGCGAAAATGAGAACTTATTTGAGAGCACAAACTTTGTGGGATGTGGTGGAAAATAGAAGTAATCCAACCTCTTTATCCAATGGCCCAACTGTGGCTCAAATACGACTCCATAATGAAGAAGTGGTAAAGGATGGCAGGGCACTTGCCATCATGCATGCAACAGTTCACGATGATGTTTTTATCAAGATATTGAATCTTGAGACAGCAAAAGAGGCTTGGAAAAAGTTAAAGGAGGAGTTCCAAGGTAGCAAAAGAACAAGGAGGATGAAGGTACTGAATCTGAGAAGAGAATTTGAAGCAATCAAAATAAAGGAGTCTGAAACAGTGAAGGAGTTTTCTGACAGACTTTCTAAAATTATTACTCAGATTATATTGCTAGGTGAAGAACTCAAAGATCAAAGAGTTGTGGAAAAAATATTGGTGTGTCTTCCAGAGAGGTTTGAGTAAAAAATCTCCTCTCTTGAAGAGAATAAAGATTTTTCTCAGATTTCAGTTGCAGAACTGGTTAATGCTTTACTAGCTACTGAACAGAGAAGATTTCTAAGAATGGAAGAAAATGTTGAAGGTGATTTTGTGGTTAACACCAAAGGCAAACCTCAAGGTAGAAGTAACTATGAAAAAAACAGAGTGAGGAGCAGTTGTTTATTGCTTATTGTTATTCTGCAAGTAGCAGCAAAGAAGTTTGACTCATAGACAGCAGGTGTACTAATCATATGGCTCATAATGTTAGTTTTTTTAAGGAACTTGATCAGTCCTACTTGTCAAAAGTCACTATTGGCAATGGAGAAAATGTTGATGTCAAAGGAAAAGGAGTGGTTTCTGTTGAAACTCCTACAGGTACCAAATACATTTCAGATGTTTTATTTGTGCCTAAGTTGAGTCAAAATCTTTTGAGTGTGGGGCAAATGCTTGAAAAGAATTATGCTTTGCATTTTGAAAATATGAGATGTACCATATTTGATCCTTATGGATGTGAGCTAATGTCTGTCAAAATGAGAGAGAAAAGTTTTCCTTTAGAATGGAAATAAACTATTGAGCAAGCTTTTCCTAGCATAAAAGATGAATCTTCCTTGTGGCATAAGAGGTTTGGTCACTTTAGTTACTCAACCTTAAGACAAATGAAATCTAATAATTTAGTTCAGAATATACCTTCTATTCAAGAACATGATGATGTGTGTGATGTATGTCAATATGGAAAGCAAAGCAAACTACCATTTCCTAATGAAGCAAGTTGGAGAGCTACTGAAAAACTGCAACTTATACACACTGATGTATGTGGCCCAATGAGCTCAACATCCTTAAATGGCAGTAGATATTTTCTCTTGTTTGTAGATGACTTTACAAGGATGAGTTGGGTGTTTTTTCTAAAATAGAAATCAGAAGTGCTTGCTGTTTTTCAAAAGTTCAAGCTGGTAGTTGAAAATGAGGCTGGAAGCAAAATAAAAAAAACTCAGATCTGATAATGGAACTGAGTATACAGCAGGGGAGTTTCAAAAATTATGTGCACAAGCAGGAATTCAATAGCAATTAATTGTTCCTTACACCCCTCAGCAAAATGGGGTGAGTGAAAGAAAAAATAGGACCATTATGGAGATGACAAGGTGTTTGCTCTTTGAAAAAGATCTTCCCAAAACCTTTTGGGTAGAGGCGGTTAACACCTCTACATACTTGCTGAATATGTTGCCTACCAAAGCCTTGAAAGACAAAACACCTTATGAAGCATGGTATGGAAGGAAGCCCTCAGTGGAATATCTCAAAATATTTGGTTGCATATGTTATACTCATATTCCAGAGGTAAAGAGAGATAAACTGGATCACAAGTCAGAAGTTGGTATTTTCTTGGGGTACTCTAGTAACTCCAAAGGTTATAGGATATACAATCCTTTGACAAAGAAGATTATCATTGGTAGAAATGTAAAGTTTGATAAATTTTCTAGATGGAATTGGGAGAAATGCAAGGTAGAAGCCTTAAGTAAAAAACAACTTGGAGTAGGCACTCTCCAAGAATAATATTCAGAGATGGAAGAAAAAGATTTAGATGATGATGATGATGATTTTCCTGTTAGAGGCACTAAAACTCTTGTTGAAATTTATGAAAGGTGTAACATTGCTGCACTAGAACCTAAAGAATATGATGAAGCAGTTGAAATGGATGGGTGGAGATGTGCTATGCAGGAGGAGATGAATATGATTGAAAAAAACAAAACTTGGCAACTTGTAGACAAGCCTACTAAACACAATGTTATTGGTCTTAAGTGGGTTTATAGAACCAAATTGAATCCTGATGGTTCTATAAATAAACTAAAGGCTAGACTAGTTGTTAAAGGCTATCATCAACAACATGGTGTTGATTTCTCAGATACATTTGCTCCGGTGGCAAGACATGATACAATCAGGTTGCTAGTTGCATTGGCAGCAAAAATGAGTTGAAAAATTTATCACTTTGATGTGAAATCAGCCTTTTTAAATGGTTTACTTGAAGAGGATATTTTTGTTGAACAACCTAAAGGCTTTGTTGTTCTAGGGAGTGAAAACAAAGTCTACAAACTTCAAAAAGCTCTTTATGGATTAAAGCAGGCTCCTAGGGCCTGGTATAGCATAATTGATAGCTATCTTCTGCATAAGGGGTTTAAACGGAGTGAAAATGAAGCTACTTTGTATGTGAAAAGGTCAAGCAATGAAGTGCAGCTCATTGTTTCCTTATATGTTGATGATTTGCTAGTTATTGGCAATAATTCAGATTCCTTGAGCAGCTTTAAGCATGACATGACAACTGAATTTGAAATGACTGACTTGGGAGAAATGAATTATTTTCTTGGAATGGCGATTCACCAATGTGATGTTGGAATCTTCATTACACAAAGAAAATATGCTTTGAAAATATTGAAGAAGTTTTCTATGCAGAATTGTAAACCTGTAAACACACCCCTTGTTGTAAATGAAAAGTTGTCACTTGATAATGCTGGCAGCAAAGTAGATACTACTACTTATAAAAGCTTAATTGGAAGTTTATTGTATCTTACAGCCACTAGACCAGACTTAATGTTTGCTGCAAGTTTTTTGTCCAGATTTATGCATTCTCCTAGTCAAGCTCATTACTGTGCAGCAAAACGAGTATTGAGATATATAAGAGGGACAACTGATTATGGTCTATGTTTTTCAAAGGATAAAAGTGATGATCTTCAAGGATATGCAGATAGTGACTGGGCAGGAAGTTTAGATGATACTAAAAGTACATCAGGTTATGTTCTCTCATTTGGTAGTGGAGTTTTCTCTTGGAATTCAAAGAAACAAGACGTGGTGGCTCAATCTACAGCTGAAGCTAAATATATTTCAGCTACAGCGGCTGCAAATCAAGCCATTTGGCTTAGAAAAATTTTGCATGATTTGAGGGAACTGAATGATGAAGCTACTGTCATATGGGTTGATAACAAGTCACCCATTGCAATTGCAAAGAATCCTGTTCAGCATGGTAGAATAAAGCACATCAAGGTGAAATATCATGGCATTAGAGAAGCAGAGAAATCAAAGGAAATCAGCGTAGAGCATTGTAGTTTAGAGGATCAGATTGCTGATATTATGACCAAAGCACTTTCCAAGAACAAGTTTGAATTTCTAAGATCAAAGCTTGGGGGATTCAAGAAAAATCTCAAGGAGGAGTGTTAGAAATTGAGTTTTTTCTAAAATACTTTATGTAACTTCTGATTGCTTTTTGGTTTGGTGAAAATCCTTATTTTAAGGAAGAGTAGGTTGTATGGTCAAATATTAGGTAGAAATGATTGGTAGTCCTTATTTTGTGGAGATTTACATATCTCTTTATGTATGCAAAAAGAAAACCTTTATGGTATTAATGAACAACTGAGTTTTCTTCCCTTTTGTTCACTGCTGAGCTCTGTATCACTCTCTGTTCTTCTTTGTTTCTGGTTTTATACTACTTTGCTATTTTTTCTAATTTTACAACAATCTTTTTGCACTTCTTGATTTTGTTTGAGTGAAAAGTATCTATGT